ATTATTGTTATTTATTATTATTACTATTAATTACCGATAATTACAACTGAGAAATTAAAATTTATTTTTATTTATTGCAATTAATATGACTGTTTGACTTTCTTATCATATCAATTGCATTCTTATAAAGAGCAAAAAGAATAAAGTGTTAGCAATGAATCGGAAACAAAAATCCGGTTGATCATAGATTTCTGTTATTGAATTTATCAGAATAAATCAACCATTACATTTTCATATTTATTCTATCGAATTGTCTTCTCCAAAGAGAGTTCAGCTATCGTCTACAGTATAAAGATAGAGTTTAACTATCATTTGAGAAATAAAATTAGAGTTTAGTTATCATTTAATTTGTTATTGTTTAAATCACTTATCAAAGGTTATTTATCATAAAGGGAAGCTTTATACAACTGATATTCCCGTTATGATAAATAATCATTGATAAGTGTTTTAAATAATTAACAATTATTCATTAATTTATTTTCATTTCTATTTATTAAAATTTGAAATAATTAGATAGAAGTATCTATCGATAATTATTTTCAACATTTCTATTATTTTCGTATTTTAAAAAAGGATGAAGCAATTATTGATTTATTCCTTCAAAATGATATGATAATTTCATATCAATTAAATGAATAAACAATGATTATCACGACCAATTGAATTTTTCATTCGAAATACGCCATTGTAGGCAAGTTAAAGCTTTTCCAAAAAAAATTATCAATCAATAATTTAAATGATAATCAATCATTTTGTGATTGATTATTTAGCAAAATAATATTTGTAATATTGAAGTATGAGAATTTCAGATGTGTAAACAAATTTAATGCATGCAATTGTTTTAATTAACATAAAAATAGACAACTCATTTGATTAATTGAAAAGCTATAAAATTGCAAAATGAAGCGAAGAAAGATGAAGAAGCGCATTTGTCATCTGCAATTTGTCGAGATATCATTAAGTGCCAGTCTTCTTATTCTATTCAGTTTGAAATGTAACCAATTAATATCAAACAAGCCGATATGCCGAACTTGTTATTCACTTATTATATAACATCGTACAACATTTGTAATGTAACATTGAATGAAAAGTGAAAGTGTTATCCGGAAATTATGTAAAGGGAAAAATGATGATCAGAAAAAAGATGCTGATAATATTTGTTATCAGTGTGATAGCAAGTGAATCATTAGTTTATTTATAAGTAGAATATAAATCAATCAATGATTTACACAGCGATAAATGTTTCAAATTTTTAAGATGAATGTAAAAATTATTTCGTGTGTTTTTTTTCCAGCATACAGTTTAATCAGTGATATTATGATGTTATCATTGATAATGTCTCATACATTCTGTTTAATCCGATTATCCCGTACAATTTAGCTATGTGAAAAATCAATTTGTCACATTTAAATTTTGACAGCTGAAAAAGAATTTAATTATTAATAATAATTACGCATAAAAAGAATTTCAATTAATTCAAATTCATATTCATCATTTGATCCACCTAAAAATCCATACTGAATACAATGGAATACAATATTAACATAGATATTCAAGTAATACATTCAAATTAAATAACTATGCAAATTATGCTATTGATTAAATACTTTATAACATACATTGAAATGTTTATTTATCCATTACTCGATATTATGATATATGATAAATTTTTCATAATAGTATAAAATAATATAATTTATTCTAAATTATCAATAGTATAAATAATATAAATAGTATAGTATAATAGTAAAAAAAGTATATATAATAGTATATTATGAAAATCATAATTTGTTATAAATTATATGTAGGAAAAATTAAAATAAAACATTCATTAAACATATCATTTACGTGAGGAGTTTAATTCATTTAATTAATTTATATCGTAAAAATAAATTTAAAACTGATTATCGATTATCGATCATTAATTATCGATTATTATGTATTTTTGAAATCAATGCATTCATATAATAAATTATCATATATTCTACTTTTTTTTTTTTCTAAAACTAATCAATTATAAATTTATTTTTAGGATATAAATTAATTAATTTATTTAACATAAAATTTAATTTTTTAAAATTTAACCATCCATTTCTAATTATTAATTGAATAGGCAAAATTCATTTTTTTTTTGTACGCAAAAATAATTTTATATTGGAAATCAAATAAACTATTCTGATTTAATCCTGCTAGACAATAATAATTGATATTATATTGATTTGTTTTATGAATAAAAAAATTACTGAATTCTCATTCGGAATTAAAAATTAATTGAAATTATTTCTGGGATGATTCTATGAGACAATAATAATTGTTATCATATTGATTTGTTTCAAAAATAAATTCTCTTTCGGAATTAAATATTAATTGAAATTATTTTTGAGACGATTCTATGAGACAATAGTAATTAATATCACATTGATTTGTTTTAAAAATAAAAAATTTATAGTTTTTCCTTAGGAGTTAAAAATTGATTGAAATTATTTTTGAGAAATTGATAATCGAAATTTTAATATATCACTGTCTATTTGCAATTGTTGTATTTTCATTATTCAATGCTTATTAAGTACAATGTAAACATACAACAATGTAAACATACAATGTAAACATATAATGTAAACATACAAGTGATGAATTAGTTTGATAAATAATATATATTCTTTAGGTCTATGAAAAATCAATTATACCCAACTTCAAATTACATATTTTTCATTTTCGTCATTGATTAATTTGCAGTTATTTCAATCCTTAGGTTATTTATTAATATAATTTTTTGATTTCTGATTTACTAATTAATTTATTGAATTCATTAATGATTACAAATATTTTGCAGATAATTAATGAGTAATTTAATTATAGAACGGAAAAGAAAAGACGGAAGTTTAAGAATAAATGGATTTATGGATGGGACAGATATCTCAGAGAATTACGGAACAATTTGGACAGGATTATCATCCATCATTATCAGTTTATCAGCAGAGCTATTTGTATGTAAAACAGTTATCACTATTAATTTTAACTAACTGAAATTTCATAGATGTATAAGTAAATAATAAATAAATCATTTTTATATAGTAGCAAAATCGACAATGTAGCATTAAATTAAATTAACTTACAAAAAAAATTCAACCTAATTTTAATTTCAATAAAATTAGCTGTAAAAAGTGTAAGGAAAAGAAAATGTCAATTAGTGAAAGGAAAAGAAATTATTAATTAGTGAAATTATCATAGTGGTTGAGGCTAAATTTTTGCTAGAATAATTTAATTAGATGACGCCGTAATTATCACAATGATAATTTAAATTGATTAAAAATCTCTTAATAATATTTTAATTTTCAGACGTCAATTGGAAATTAACGACAATGGAGTTTATCAATCACTCTCTGAATACTACGATCCAAATAGGCCATTACTAAATAATGCATCAATAACTATTAATAAACAACAACAACAACAGCAATCGCGCGACAATCAACAGCAACAACAACAACAACAACAACAACAGCAACAACAACAACAACAATCGTACAACAATCAACAACAACAGCAACAATCGTACAACAATACTTGCAGTAATCATCCATTTGATCATTCTCAAAAGAAATTAATCTTTTATTTGAGAAGCGAAAGATTTTTGAATTTATATGCTCTGTGTAATTTCACAAGTAAATTATATCATATAGTTTGAAATAGAAAACTTAAAAATTTCAACAATTCAACTTATCAGCTGCAAAAAAATCACATCTCTAATGAAACTATTAGAAATCATTAAATTAAAATTAATTATAAAATTTTCATAATTATTGCAATGATCGTAATACAAAGTTAAAGCCTATGAAAATTATCATCAAAAATAATCACTGATAAGTTTCATTTAAATTTTCAGCTTTAATCGATCAATTTAATGTACTGCAACAACCAAAGGATTTCTCCTCATTTCATAGTCTTCTTGATATTTACAGAAATTCCAATAATACTGTGGAATTTATAAACAATTTTGAGCAATATCTTAGCTTACGCTTTTCATCATGTTAGTCAATGAATTACTTTAATATTAATAGAATTAATTTTAATTTCATTAATAATAATTATTTTTAGTTTTTATCGTTATTTTTTTAGGGTCATTACTGTAGTGAGAGAATGAATGGTTTTGTAACCATTCTTTTATTACAGTAATGGGCTAAACAAAACCTACAAAAACCATTCTCTCATTACAGTAATAGGCCTAAAAGTTTTCATTATAACAGAATTATTCTATAATAATAATAATATTTATTTTGATAATAAACTATTACTTTCTATGAAAATTTTATTTAAATTAAAAATTTCAAAAATAATTTATAATTTTTACATTTAAATTTATTTAATAAAAATTTTTAGATATTTGGATTGGATTAATGTTTTTATTAATGTTATGGGGCCTTATACATATAATAGTTGGTTAGTATTATAAAATTAATTGAAAAAAATATAATTCTTACAATAAAATTTGTTAATTGAATAATATAGAAAAACGAAATTGATAGTAATAAAATAATTTGATACCTATAGTTAACGTTTAATCTTTTATTTTAATAATTAAAAACTCAATTTTATTTTTATTTTAATAATTAAAAACTCAATCTTGTTTTTATTTTAGTAATTAAAAACTTATATTTAATTTTTATTATTACATTTTAGGTACTGTTAAATTCCCATTTTGTGTATCATGTCCAATGATTCCACCATTTTTAATCGTTATGGGTTGTTTATATATTCTTTGGAGTATATTACGAATCTACGCGTTTTGGCCACGTTCACATGCTGATACATTAGGTATTGATTTAATGTGTAAAGCACTGGAAGGTATACTAATCATAACTATACTTGTTTCGCTATTCCTTGGTAAGTTCATCAGAATACTGTAAATTAATGTTTTCTTTTGTTTTCTTTTTTTTTTTTAATTTTTCAATATTAAAATTTATTTAACAAAATTAATTAATGCAAAGTATAGCTAATAAAAAGAAAATTTTTTTAAAATTAAAATTTTATTTTAAAAAAATTGAAAATTTTTCGAAAAATTAAGCAAAATTAAATTAATGCAAAATTAATTAGAATTAAGAAAATATTAAAATTCCATTTAAAATATATTAAAATATATTAATTAATATAAAATTAATTAGAATTAAGAAAATATCAAATTTTCATTTAAAATATTCTAAAATATATTAATTAATACAAAATTAATTAGAATTACGAAAATATTAAAAGTTCCTTGAAAATACATTAAAATATATTAATTAATGCAAAATTAATTAGAATTAAGAAAGTAGCAAATTTTTTAAATATTAAAATTTCATTTAAATTACACAAAAATATATTATAAGACTGTTTCAAATAAGTGTTAATTTATCGGATAGATATTTTTATTTTCAAATATCTAAAATTAAAATAAAAATATTTTATTATCATAAAATAATCCTAACGTATATGTGAAATATTTTAAGTATTAAATTTATGATTAATAATTTTACCTAAAATTATTTTTTAATTTTCAAAATTATGATCTAATTTTTGTAAATGAAATTTTAAATTTAATTTAACTTTGTTTTTCAGGTTGTTTAATTTCGTATTTCAGGTTACATTTGATTATATGATATCGGATAAAATATGAATTTCGAGCATAAAAGTTTATTGTTTTCAATTTTCCAGGTTGTATTTGGATATACAACAGCGAACATATTGATTTCCAATCTTATCATTGTGATAATATCGCTTATTGGATAGCATTTATTAGCGTTACTTTACATTTGACAATAATTCTCTCCACATTATTACTTCTATTTTGTTTACTTTGTATTGGACTCTTAAAAGATGGCAAGCAATAAGTATTTCTCATAAAATTTTTATAGTAATACTATTAATGCTATTAATTATATTATTTTATACTATTAATGAATACGATATACTATATTTATGTAACGTTTTTGTATATATATTCTTTTTTTTTTAATTCCAAAATTAAGTAAAGAATTTGTAATTAATTTTTCTTAAAGAAATTAATTAAGTTTCGATATTTTAAAATTTTGTTTTTTGGTTATTAATTCTTATCAATGCAGTAATACTGATATGATATAACAAATAACAGTAAAACGAAATGCATAAAATCATACCATATTTATGTAACGTTTGTTATTAATGTGTCTTTTTCTTAATTTTAAAATTAAGTACGGAATTTGTAATTAATTTTCCTTAAAAATTAATTAATACAGAATTTGCAATTAATAGAATTTGTAATTAAATTTGTAATTAAGTACAGAATTTGTAATTAATTTTCCTTAAATTAATTAATTAATCAATTAAATATTTTAAAATTTTATGTTTTTTCAATTTTTTAATTCCTTTCAGTGAAATTAATTTTCTTTTAATTCGTAGATTTAATGATAGGAAGGATTTCACTTATTTCATTAAAATTAATTGAAATTTTTTGATGAAACAAAAGAAATTGCTTCCTATCCATATGAGTTTCATACAAGCATTCCTAGTTGTAAGTATTTTATTTTGTTATCATAAACGTTTTCCCGGAAATGGTTGGCACTAATGAATTTAGTTGTAGAAAATAAGAATGTATGGTATTTGGCACTAATGAATTTAGTAGTAGAAAATAAGAATGTATGATATTTGTTTTGTTTTAATTGATGTAAATTTAAAACTTGAAATTTTAGCTTTTCAGAGATGAAAACTAAGTTTGAAAATTTAGAAGTTACATAATCAGCTATGAAGTAACTTCTAATTTTTATCACTAAAAGAGATACCTTTAATCTGCAAGTGTAAATTAAGTTTCCTAATTTCAGTATAATAAAATGTTAAATATTATCTCATTGTTAAGCTCAACTGATTCATAATATCATAGCTCATAATATTGAAGCGAATATTGGAAATCGTTCTATAACATTACGACAATTGAACCGGAAAAGATCTTAAATTTGGATTGCCAGATATGGAACCGGATAAAGAAAGGCAAAAAATGAGATTTCATTCTAAAAATCGATTTAGTTAGAGGGCAAAAAGTAAGTATGTGATTTACCTTTCTGATTCATTCCACCAACTTATTTGACCCTTACCCTTTTTCCGTTAATTCTCTTCTGTGGTACCTAAAATCATCAATCAACTTTTCACTAAATAACTCAAATTCTAAAATTTGAAAAGTGCAATTTATTAGAGGTTTCAAAAACTTTTTTTTAATCAGTTAAAATAGTAAAATTTGATTCTGATTTGATCAATTCCTTCTAAATGACAGAATAACTTCTTGTGTTTCAGATAGAATCAAAGTGTTAACAGCACAAAATAGTGTGAGTTACTTAAAGTAAATCAAAAATAAACACTAATTTTCTGGTAGACAAGTTTGTAGAATGATAAAACTAAAAGATTTAAGCTATCAATAATTTAATAAATCATCTGTTCAAATAAATATCAGCTTCCATAAATTCCGTAGCCTTTCATATCGCGATATTTTTGTCAGTATAGTATGATAAACGAAAAGAGCAGGAAAATTCTGTAGTTTTATTAAAAATTATTGATTGAAAGTAGCATAAATCAATCATAAAATCTTACACAAATATCAAATGTCACTATTACATTTTGAGAAGTAAATTTTTCACAACAGTCGTAGAGTCCGAATTTTAATATAATTATTGCAAGACAATTACGTTGACATGGTATGAAGTTTATTACTAACAATTCGCAAGTTGAATCCAAACCCGATGCTGTAATTGTTCTGGAAGTTTAACAGGTATGGTCAGATGAATATATTATAATAAAATATAAGTATATTATAAATATATTATTATATATTATGAATATATTACAGTAAAAACGAAGAAAAAAAGGATTGTAAAAGATAATAATGTTTTGAAATTTATCGCTTTCTCTTTTTTTTTGTTGAAATAAAAATTTGAAAATGGTTAAATTTCAATACAGAAAATTTTTTGTACAATCTTGTTTTTCATTTGAAAGACATGGATTTTTCCAATTAAGAGGCATGCTAAATTTGTGATTTAAATTAATTTCAGCGCCATATGGGATCATATACATATTATCCATTCCGGTGAATTTGATAGAAATTTAAACAAATGTTTCCCACTGGTAATCCACCTTTTACAACACCCAGTGCTCAACAAAATACCGCTAATATGAATCTGGCAGCAGCGCTTTATTTACATCCATCGCTGGGTATAACCAATCAGGCATATACTCAATTTTATCAACAGGTAATTGAAATTGTAATCTAGTGCGATTTCAGACATTCTATTATTATTCGTATAGACTGTTTGGTTTACACAGTCGAATATGAGATTAGGTCGGATATTTCTATTAATATTGGAAAGAAGAATATTGTTACGGAAGTTATGGATCTGTGTTTGTCCTGGTTGACCCTTTCCAAAGAATGTTAAATTACTCGGAAAACTAAAATCTATGATTCCCCTCGAGTAGAAGAATCTGCAATTTTTTAAGAATGAAGAAAGTCCACAAATGTCAAGCACTTGTATATTACTTTTTCAAGTTATTTTCGTCCAGAAGTTAGCCATTTCAGTTGTCCGGAAATTTGATATCCAAAACTTTTTCAGGCTCAAGGCCAAGCACAGTTGACTCAGCAACAGCAACAACAGCAGTTACAGCGTCGATTTGAGCAACTGGTTGTGGCGCAAGCTGCACAAAATGCCCATGTTCATTTACAAGCAATTCAGGTGGATTTCAAATGATGTGTCCGATTAATTAGAAGTCAAAAATCTCAACATTCTTTTATTTAATAGCTTATTATCAAATTATCTATCACATATCATTTTGATAGGTGTCGTTAAGATTGAATAGTACTTAAAATGTTTGTGATCAAATCCATAAATTTTTCATTTTTCTTGGCAGCAGCAACAACATGCATTTCAAAATCAGCAAAGTCAAGCGCAGAATCACCAAAAAATGCAGGCGGCGCAACAGCAAGCCCAACTGCAACAAAGTCAAGCGCAAGCTGTTCAAATACAACGCTTGAATGCATTAAGGCAAGGCAATCAGCATATGTCACATTCTCATTCGATCAGAGGATCTACACCTGGTGTTGTGAAATCTCGTCAAGTATCAGTATTATGCTTGTTTCTGCTAAAAGTTTTCAAGAAATTTATTTCTTTTACCAATTCATCCACTCCATTTCTCTCGCAAAATTGCAATAGAAAACAAGATTTTCTATTTGAATTTCTTATGCGGAACGAAATTTTTATTCCTGCTCAAAAATTTGCGTTTTACTAGAAAGAAAAAAATATTTTCAAAACCGAACTGATCAGTGAAAATCCTTCAATTTGCAGGAGATTCAGGCTGAAGCGGATGCTCGCCGGCGACGTTCATTAATTGCAGATTTTATGATTGCGCCCAATTCGGCTACATTTTTGGGTAATATTAAATGATGATTGAATATTAGGTAATGTATTAAATGGTATAATGGTTAAACAGTGCGATCAGGCTTCTGGGAGATTAACTTTCTAAAATGCAGCTATCTTTCAAAGAACATGTTTTTAATTACAAATCATTAAATGCAGTGCTTAGTGCATAGGTTTTAGATGAAAGGAGACGTTCGGATTCCATCAGTAGTGGTGTATTCGGTGAAATGAAGAAATCAGAAACAATGAGCGGTGAATTCAGTGTGATCTCTGACGAAACAACAGAACGCAAGAGGAATTCAATAACCGACCACTTAGAAGCAGTTGAAAAAGAAAAAAAGCTTGTCGATAGCCAAATTACTATTATACAACGGAAAAAGGTATTCATGATGGTTTTTAAGATTAATCCTGCATCTCCACTATAAAGTGTAAAATGATTCATCATTCCTGTACAGTCACATACTGAAATCGTGACCATGTCATAGGTAAAAAAATCAAATAGATATGAGAAGAACTGAAGCTTGTTGATCGTAGGAACAGTACGAAAGTGAACTGGCTAAGATATCGAGCGATAGCACAGATAATGATAAAGAAAATGACGACACTGCTGAAGACATCGATTCAATGAGTCTGGTTGAGAGGATTTATGCTGAAAATCGAAAGAAGGCATTTCGTGCTGGAGCTCAAATGCCTGCTGTTCTTGCACCTTCAGCTGCAACAATTGTGAGTTCACTCCAAAATGCTGTATATTTACTTTATCCCCGAATTTTCTGATGCTTGTACCAACTGAGCACAGATCACCAAAAAACTCGGGATAAAGTAAATATACAGATTTTGGAATTTTCGGTATGTCAATTGCTGTTGATTAGCGACATATAATAAAATGAGATTATGTCAGAATCAGTCATTTTTCTGACGTAATTTCAGATACTTGGAAAATTCATTTCTGTGCTCATAACGCCAGCACTCTTAGTGAGGGTATGACCAATAAAAAGATCGAATCTATAATGGCCAAATTGGTAGTGTAACATTTGCTGAATAGTTTTTATAATGTATTTATGTGAAAGCTTTTCTATATGAATAAAAGGCCTCTTTAACTGTTTGTTAAATAATATAGATATAATTGAAAAATATATTTTGAAAACTAAATGAAGTGGTTATAACAACTGTTGACATGACAAGGCAGAGGCATATTCTTTCAAGAGTGACTGTTGTCCTTCTTTATCAATGTTTTATGTTATATAAGTGAAAATTAATACGAAGCAATACACATACATTTATATTTTCAACTATAATTTTTAGTATCACCAGTGCTACTCGTAGTTTTATAAGCATTACGTTATGCTTGAGTTTTCTTATGGGTGTATATGCCCATAAGAATCTTTAAAATCCCATAAGAATCTTTTTAGTATATTTTAGTATCAGAATCTTTAGATACTTTTCTGAACGGGAATCCTTCAATTAACTGATCGAATTTCCAGCCACAATATCGAAATCCATGGGACAGTGCTCTAGTGCAACAGACAATCGAACGATACAAAACGGTGAAGCCTTATCTCGTGAAAATGCTAACAGAGCAGCGGCAAAACGATTTGCTGGCGCAAAGATATCAAACTGAAAAATACAATGTGATGTATGCAGAGTGGTTGAAGAAGGATGAAAGATACTGCAAAAGTCAGAAGAAAGTGTAAGTTTTGCTTTTTCATTTTTTATAAGCGTTTATTAGCACTTGGTATTTGCTAATTATTTCAATCTTTGTAAAGTGGAGCAATCATTTTTCCAACTTATCTTTTACAGTGCTCGTGATGAGAAGCATCGCGAAATATTTGAAAAAACGTTTCCGGAATTGAAAAAAACGCGAGAGGAACGAGAGCGATCTGGAAGAGTTGGACTTTTGTCCGTAGAGCAGTTGGAGCAGGTAAATTAGTTGCAAATTAGATTCTTATAATAGCTTGGCTTATTTTTTTATTTTTGAGATTGAGGTAGACAAGATTTATCTGATAGAATGGCGATGATATAGCTCAATAGTTTAAAGGATTCTATTTCTTAGATTAGTAATACGCGGCTGAATGCTTGAGCCGTCGTTAGGGGGTGCAAAGGTTAAAACTTGATATTATCATAGTGTGTTACAATATGAAGTAGGGCCGGATACTTCAGACTGTATTATCTGTCCATCACAAGGAATGTTCGGTGTCGATGAGGGAAAAACGAAACATCAGTGAAAGTATTAGTGAAAGTGGGATGTGTGATCCTAAAAAGTAATTGATAATAAATATTTTGGTCTCTTTTAATTTTAATACTTTCTTACTCTCTTTTAATACTTTCTTACTGCAAAGGTCTTCTTAGAGAAGTTGTAGTGCGGTGATCTATTAATTTCAATCTTAACCTTTTGGAATGGTTTTGAAAACTTGTTTTAGTTTATGTTTGGATAATATTATGTTGATTGTAGAGTTTAGGCTTAGTTATAGGACGAAGAATATAAAAGACGGCGTGCAGCTGCGGCATTACCACCAATGATGATGAATTCAAGAATGCGCAATGCACCATTTTATGTAGATTTAAATGGAGTTGTCGCAGATGCGTTAGGGGATCATAATGCTCATATTGAATATTTCTTGGAAAAATGGACAGATGACGAAAAACAAGTAACGGAATTTTTTTGTAAATTTTTACTACATCATGGTTATTATTACTATTTCAAATTCATTTGTTTTCTCTTAAGGTGAAAGGATACACGTCTTGACACTGATCGGTTTTTTGCAGACTTTCAGGGAGCAAACTGTTACATATGGCAAAAATTTTGCGGCGGTAGCTGAATTTCTTGATCGGAAAAGTGTAAAAGATTGCGTTCTATACTATTATTTGACCAAAAAGCGTCAAAACTACAAAGCATTAATGGGAAAGAAGCGGAAGAAGCCACCAAGATGTTACAAACCACCACTAATGCCGCGACTTGAAGAAGTAGCATTAAAAGCACCACAGGATGCGAATGATGTCACCAGTAAGTTTTTTGTTATTTTTTTTGATCTCATTACCTTAAAATTTTTAAATTTCGAAATTATTTTTATGGAGGTGTTTTTACGAGATCCGTTTTTTGGAAACAAGATGCCCGAGCAATCACAGTGATAAATTTCCATAATGTTATTGTTCTATATCTCTGATACAGTAAGAGCTGTATGAGTGTCATTATGATGTAAATCTACAGATATATGGGGTTTTGATGAAACATTGCAATTCCATTCACAAACTGAGGATGCAGATTGATTTCAAAATCGTTAACTATCTAGCGTAGAGCTATATTGTACTGTTATATATGCATCTGTAATTAAAGTAGGAGTGAAATAAGTCATATTGCAGTATTTTATTTAACATGGAAGATCGTTGGTCTCATTTTTGCCGTATGAGAAATTGATTTATACTTAGAATTAAAGTTAGAGTTCTGTTTGAATTTTTCTATATCTCAAGCTGTAGACTGCCATACAGAAGTCCTAGAAGTAACTTTTAATCCAATTTTAGTTGTTGGTTCACGAGAACTTGAGTGTTGTATTTGCAAAGCGAAAGTGGTTAGTGGTTCTAATACTGGTCGAATACTTACACGTTTAACTTTGGATGCATCTGGTTATGACGCCAGTTCAGCAAACGAAATCGATATTTGTGTATGTCAAAAGTGTAAGGCAATGGGAATTAAACCGAAAACTGTGACGTATGTGTTTAATTTAAATACTTTTTGATTGATGAAATATTTTTCATAAATTTAATATTTGGTCCCGAAATCGTTTTTCATGTTTTTCGAAGTTTTGAACCGTGCTTTATGTTTTAGACGTTGCCAAATTGGTACATGCCACAATCCGCGCCGAAAAGTGAAGCCAACGCGACCGATGCCAGTGAAATGGAAACTGATAACGATTGAACAGAAACAATTTTTAATGCATCAGATGTTGATACCGGAAGATATTTTAAAATGTTGCCCTGCGTGTCACAAGAAGATCTCCAAACAATTGGATATGGTAAAATTTTTAATTAATGATTATGTTGCTCTTGTTTCGGATGGTTTATTCCGAGACTTTCCCCTAAACCCTCTTAATTAATTTTTAGTACATCAAAGTGTATACATCTTGTTCTTCCAATTTTAGATTATTTTTGAAAAACATTTTTATTTTGTCGTTAATTATTTAAGGAAACAGCAAACTGTTCAAAGCTGGAAATTTAAAATTTTTTGATGTTTTGAATTTTATGGTTTTCTAATGCTAAGCAATTGCAATTTGTTATAGCTTATTGCTGGTGAATTGGAGGAAGAAATGGCTTTATGGCAGAAATCCTCTGCTGTTGTTTGGAGTACTGAAGAAGTGGAAACATTATGCTCTGCAGTCACTTCAATGAGTGGGAAAGATTGGGATGTTGTGGCTGAAAAAATGGGCAATAAATATAGTGCCAAGGTATGCTAACTGTGAAAGTTGCAGTAAAAATTTTGAAAATGGTTGAAGTAATGATTCAATGGTAAATTGAATCTAGTTTATTCCTGTCATTCTAGCTAACTTTTTTCAATTCAGCAATGCCAAGAGCAGTATGAAAAGATTTGTGCTATGAAAAGCGTTAAAAAAGAAGTAGAAAGCGAAGATGATGTTAGCGAAGACGAGAGGGAGAATCCACAATTACAGCAAGTTGCTGTTGAGGTTAAGAATGATACTGCTGAAACTGAACCGGATCCGAGGTTCGCGCTTTCCATTCCGTAGGTTTTCCCTTTAATTGTTTTATGAAATGGTGTTGAATGAATTATTGAACTTTTGCTAGGAAAGAATGTAGAAACTAAAAATATAAAATGGTTAGGATTTGGTTAACATCGTTTACTTTGACAATGTTTTTTATTTTTGCTCTTTATGAGCTTTTTTGCTCTTCAATAAATGTCTGTCTCCTCCATCTTATGTCGTAATGCATAATTTTAGCGGTGAAAGCAATGCAACATTAAGCGCTGATGAAACAGCCAATCAGGATTGCGTTATTTTATTACCTCCAATTGCAAAATCACCATCAACACGCTTATATAAGCCGAGATTTCGTGGTACTTCCGGACTGGGTTCAGAAGCTGCAATTTCATCTGTCAATAACTCCAATTTACACTTGTCACAAATCAATAAGGAATCAGAGGTCATGTCATCTCCATTAACATGTCGTAGATCTGACGCAAGTGCCTCCTCATCGTCGGATCTATCGAATATGGATGATGTTGCAAAAACGGCCTCTCTATCATCGCACTCATCTTTTGTTGGAAGTGCACTTCTTGCAACACTTACTTCCTCCACTCCAGATTCGACGCCTGCACGGTCTTCTACTCAGGTTTGTTAATTTTTCGTGTTTTTTGAGCAGTCCAACTTGACTGTTTAATTCTAATGTACGGTAAATGGTAGTATTTATATATGTCCCTATTAGACAAAGGGATTGCACTTTGCTGAAGTGGATGGATTGAATCACTAGTATTTCGATCCTACTCAAACTGGAAAAATGTTTTCCAGGGAATTAGTTTTCATATTGTTGTCATTAATTCCTGTCAGTTTGATAAGCTGATATGGTGTTGCAAGTGTAGTTGCTTAGGCAACGGTCTGATTATCTTTGAATAGCATCTCTACAAGTGAGTGGTAGTATTCAAGAAATTTATGATTGTGAGTGGTAATATTCGAGATGATGGCAGAGACTTTAAACTTTATCCTTTTTTATGCAAGCTTTTTTTAATGATAATTGAAGTGCTTTTTAAGGTCGAAATCGATAGATTACCTCAATGTTCAATTTCAATAACGAGACCGTCAACTTCAGCTGTTACCCAATCGGTTTCATCTGTACTTGGAAATATTGTCAGAGGTTCAATCACCCAAGGTTCCATTACTTTTCCTCACTTTATTAAAAAATGTTTACTGCAACGCATATTCATTTCAAAAGACTTTTTGCTTTTGTTCGGTGAGTTTACTCAAAGGCTATTTTGAGACACATGTTGCTGTGACCATATGATTTGAAAGATATGCTATAATTCTGATTAGGAATGTGGTGTTAGCTGTAAAACTGACGATAAGATTACTTTTTACTTCACGTTGACACTAGTGAAATTCGAAAGTAGTTTGACTAATAAATTTTTTTTATTTACAGGGACGCCTGTGATGAGACCACCATCACCACCTACCTCCAACAACGATTTGTTACTGGAAAAAGTGAAACAAATGCAAATGCTTTCCGTTGGAACAGTCCCTACCGGAGCATCTTTAGCAGCAGCCAGTAATATTGCAACAAGTTCCACTCCAGCAGTCGCAGCACCAACGCTGCAGCCCATTGCAAATGCAGCTGCTGCACTCCCTTTTTTACAGAATCCTCTGGCAGCAGCAGCTGCTGCTGCATTCTCTACTGCTGCTCCCGACCCCAACATGTCATCGTTGGCTGCTTTCTATAATCAACTAACTGCAATGGATCCTACCATGCAAGTAAGTATTTTTTTCCTCCTAGAAAAATAGTTTTCATCTTTTACCTTAAAGAAAATTAGTATTTAGGTAAACTTGCAATATACACTTTCATGGTATGGAGGCTTTCAATCATTTTTTGCAGTATGCTATGACGATGAAAATAATGCAGCAAGCTGCGCAACAGCATGAATATGAGCGTAGGTTGGCCGCATTACGAGGTTAATTTCTTCCATTATTATTTTTTTCCACTGATGATTATTTATTGTTTTCTTAAGCTGTAAGGAGAACTAAGTTAGTTAATTCATAAGTAAAAATTTGGAATTTGAAAAAAAAAAATTGAAAAAGCAACTGGACTTTTTAGCAAGCAGTGTGGTTGACCAATATCGACAACAGGCCTTAGCTTTGGGTCTTTCTGAGCAACAGCAACAGCAGATGCAGAACAGTCAACAGCAACAACAAATGAATGCATTAGCAAGTGATCAGGCAAAAGTTCTGGTCAGTTTTGAATTTCTTATAAAAAAGAAATGAAAGGATATTTTTCCGGAATTATTTTGATAACCTTTAAATTCAATTTGAATAAGTTATATTTGAATTCTCTGCAGTTATGGCAACAACTGATGCAACAATCATCTAGTATGAAGCCGTTGCAACAACAGCAACAAACAATATCCCAAACAGTTAACTTGCAACATACTGCAGCAGCTAATACATTGTTAGCTGCAGCTGCAGCGTCTACAAGTATACGTCCGACGGTTGGAGCGCATTTAAGCGTTCATCCAAATATTGAACAGCAGCAGCAGCATACAAAACAGCTTACTGCGTCAGCAACAGCAACAGCATCGGCAGCAATACATACAAATTTGTCCAATAAAGTGGGAGCAGGTAACACAGAGCCACAACGTACAAGCGTGCAATCACTTTCGTCAACAGCTTCCCAACTCTATAACGATTTTCGTAATGCTGAACAAATGCGTAAAGAACTGGATGAAAATGCGCGGCAATTAGAGACACAACAGAAACTTGTAAGACATTTTTTTGTTTGTGTATTCTAGCACTATAGTGATAATATCTCTTTCTCACGGAAAAATGGGAGACAGACGTATGAGGTATATCCACTTAACGTTAGTCACAAAACGAAGACCCAATGTATGTTTGTATCGATTTTATGAAGACATTGAACTTGTTATTTATATTAATCGCTGTGTCACAGTTCTTTTTATAATATTTGCGAAATCTACTCATGATTACTTAATCGCGTGTGTAAGGAGGGTAATAAATAGAATTATCGGAGTGCGGCTACAGATCAGATCTGAAACGTATGTATTAAGGAAGAAAGATATTATTGACTGCCCAGAGAAGAGTTGTAATGCTGCACATGAATTTTTTCCTCGAATTCATGTACATTTCTTCAAAGCATTTACAACTTCTCTTTCATTACTGCTTATTCATCATAGAAGTAGTCAAAGAAATATTCAAATACATCATTGTCTCTTTTAGCAAGAAGAAATCCATTATATAGAGCAGCAGCGAAGACGTGTCGTGGAAGTGAGTTTTGTTTTGGATGTTTCATGTTATATACTAGCTATATTCTGTGTTGTCTATTAACGAAGTGAATTTGATAGTTCCATTTTATTTACATCTCTAGATATGAAGAATAACAAAGAGAGAGAGAGGTTATATATATGGAATGTGCTGCAGGATTTATTGATTTTATTTATTGACCTGCTTAAATAGCGAGTAAGGTTTTTGGAGGCTGGATTCCGTCAAATGGGAGATTTCGATTTTCTAGGTTTATTTCTGTTAAAAATATGTTTCGGCAAATGCTGATTTTGAATGAATTTTCGGAACATTTCAGGAAGAAGCCTGTATTAGTGATGAATTAAGTCGAGTGTCGCAAATTGAATATCCACGTGCTCTACGATCGCAGGATGGTGAAGCTATACGTGTTCAGCTCCAAACCATAGAGCGTCTTAAGGAACGACGCACAGCAATGCAACATTATTTGCGAGCTTATGACGAGGGATTGAAGGCACTCAGTGGTTAGTTTTGTCACATTTTCATTCGTAGACTTATTAATAAAATTTATATGTAAACTTTAATTTTACTGTCATTGCTCCCATCGCTGAGCACGTTATAGGACGTTCCCGCTGTCTTCGAAGGAAGTACAAGGAAGTCGTTTTCCATTTTCAAAGTTTATTGGCTTTAGTACCGATATTTCTTTTCTACGTAATATCTTTTTCAGGAAGGAATACGTTAACTCCTGCCAGCTCTTCTGGGGTAATAATGAGAGGTATGGGTGACGAGCGTACTACTGCCACTGGAGGTCCTGTTAGCAAAGGTGCCATGAAAGAGTTTCCTCCATCGGTAACTAGAATTGGAATTAATCCATCTTCAACGCAAGCTGTATCTGGTCAGAGTCTGATTGGCATAAAACGAACATTGAATGATTCTGCGCTCGTAACATCAGCTGAAGGACAGGTAAGTATTGATTTGTTCAAAGCATTAGATTTTGGGCGTAAATGCATATTTAGGACTAATTCAAAAAGTTGCTTTGATGTTGTCTGCTCTCTCTAGTCTTCATAGACAATGAAATCTGGAAGTAGTCAGGAAAAGAAACTTAAAGTCAAATAAAGGTATTTCTTAATTTACTAGACAGTAAAATCTGGAAACTGTGATCAGGAAAAGGAACTTAAAATCAAATAAAGATATTTCTTAATTCATTGGTTTTGCTAGTATTATTTTGCAGCTTGCTGGACAGAGCGCAGCAAACGACTCATCTATGCCTGAAGGATGTACTACGAATAGACGTTCACGTGTTGATCCTGTTGTATATCGCAAAGGTTGATGCTTTGTAACTACAAATCGTAGTTCTTATAGAACAAGATTTCTTTAAATGGTATCGGAACAAGTACTGACGATCAAAACAGATTGCGATGAAGCATATGAATGACTCAAAATATATTGCCTTTATAGGACTGGATAGCACAATGTTCGATTCAGGACAAACATCACATCTCTTGCGTGCACATTGCCATAATACCCTATTGGATGAAGAATTTAATCGTGCTGAACATAGAAATATGCAGAACACTTGTGAAATTAAGCGGAAATCAGGTAATTTACGACAGTTTTTCCAAGTTCAGCTAGTGGAAAAGCATTTAGGTCGATTTGTCTCTGGTCTTTGAGCCCAGATTTTTGGATGTAAATGTTTAGCTATAAATTAAAAATTTGCTAAAAATTTTAAGAAAGCGATCGCGAGAAATAATCATTGATTTCAATTCGTTCTGAAAACTTTCTCCGTTTTCAGGTATTCATACCGTTTATCTACCATCTTTGCCGGATGTTTATCATGCGCAAAGTATGAAAATGCCCACAGCAAGTCAAAAGCGTGTCGGGTCACCAACGGTCACTGCAGCTGCACATTTTGGTTGTACCACACCTAATAATTCGGCTCCTACATCTCCACATTCGCCATCACTTATAGCTCCAACAACAGCAGCATCCATATCTCGAACATCTCCAGCTCAACAACAGCAACATTTTCCCCATTTTGTGCCCACTTTGCAGCAACATCAAACCAGATTTTCATCGTCACAATCCACCTCTGCTCCAAGCACTGCAGCCGTTTCTCCACACGGGCTTTCAGCGACTACCGTCCTTGGACGTCCAGCCCTAAGCCCCGCAAACAGTTATACTTCCGATGTACGTACCCCGGTTTCCGCACTTGTTTCACCGCGGACACCCCTTTCCATCAATCTAAATCTGTCAAGTTCACATTCCACACATGTTTCACCGCATAATTCATCAAGTTTACATGTGCCAACACCTACTACGTCTCCATTTCAGGTTTTTATATTTCTTTTATAAGAGAATGTAAGTAATACCCTACAGTTTTTAAGAGTTAGCAAAGTTCATGTGAATTTTTACCTGGTTTAAAAATTTTGAAATTTGATGCCAAAAAACGAATGTGGAATTGAATATATGGCAGAAGAACCATCAAACCGTTATAGATGAAACATTTAAACCAAATGCATGCAATTGAGAACTGAAGAGAGGGCTAATGGTATTCCGAATTCAATGTTAGGGTCAATTTACATAAATTTTTGTAAAGTTTTTTGATTGAAATTTGATCATTTAATTAATAGGGCTTGTATAAATTGTGTGGGCATGTTATGTAGCTGTATTGAAATGGTGATTTTTTTTTGGTCTTGGAAATTTGATGAGCATATTTTTCGACCATTTAATGGGTGCTATACAAATAACCCTTTTTTTTGACAATATTTTTATGGAATGAGAGCTACGGTAAAAGTCAGTTGACTTTTGGAAGGCGGTCTGGTTTATTGGATATTTTTCGATGTCACTGTGAAGCAGTAGTTTTATTTTTTTTTTAAGAATATTTTAAAAACAATTCACACTATTACAGATGTCAGCATTAGGAACTTTATCACCAAACGTATCATCTCAAAGTATTTCCTGTTCACCGACCTTCCAAACATCAGCAGTTGTTCCTGGAAATACTTTGAGCGCATCGCTTCCTTCGCTACGTATAACAACTGTAGCAGATATTAATGATGGTAGTGCAAAAACGATAACGAATACAGCTGAGGTATTACCCTTACTAAAAGTAGAACTATAATTATTTTGTTGAATTCGAAAAATATTATCATTTTTCCAAGTTATTATAGGTAGTTTGTAGTTTGCATGAAATATAATAATCATTTAGATTTACTTTGATTTGTTGATCAAGCTAAGTTGCAAATAGTGCAAATAATTGCAGAACGAAGAAGCCCTTGTTGAAAATCAGCAACGTTCGGAATCTGCTGCTGTTGCCAATTATGAACCATTGTCACCTGATACATCCGATGTTGCACCTACGTCCCAGACAGGTTATATTCAGTTTTCCTTGATTCGACTTAGTTCGGATTTATGTTTTGTTCTTTGCTTATGTTGAAACTCAAATTCCCAAACTGTGAAATCTCAATTGAACAAGTGACATTTTAAGGCTTCTACCAGTTTTCAAATTTGTCTTGGAGTTACATTAAAAAAAGTTTTTGAGTTATTCTTTTTTTAATGGTGATGTATTTTTAAAGACATTTTCAACATAACAAAAGATGTATATATAACACTGCTAATTTGATAGCTAACTGACTGAAATTTTCGTTTAAACCAAAATTTAAGATGAAACCTGCTGAATTTATATATAATTCATGTCAATTTTTTCGAGTGGATTTCAGACAGATCTGCCGATCAGGCTACAAACTTGCCTCTTTTTTCATTTCTGAATTTGCCTGACAATGGTAATGGTCTAAACGCTCCAACAATCCGACCAGTTACTTCTCCTGATGATTCCCCGCCAAGTATGCGAGACATATCAACAGCAAATATTGTTCCACC